TGAGAAGAACTTGGAACGCATTTCGAAGACCACCAAAGAATTGCTCGAAAGAAGAAGATTTTTGAGGAAGGAACCGAATACAACCCATCTCGAGCGACTGATAGCCAACGCCAGTTGCAGAATATCTTTGCAAGAGGATCTCAGGAAGTACAGGCAAGCCAAGATACTGGAAGCAGCCGAAGGAAGACGAAGTCTCAAGAAGTGCCGAAGGGACCTCTGTGAATATCACGTAGCGCTGGCTGCACTATTAAACGAAGACGGGACTCCGACTTCTTCCCGATACAAGATGGGATCTATCGCGAAGAACTTTTACACCAACCTTCTCCTGCGCACGGCGTCAGACCATGGAGACGTCCACGGCTCCAGGACCAGATCACCTTTCCGTCGAACTTCTGTGAGCCGGAGGACACCGTCTAGACGAGGTTCTAGCGTCTCATTTGACATCTTACCTTCAGAAGGAGAAGATTCCCGACCAGTGGAGAAATCAAGAACCGTCCTTCTCTTCAAGAAGGGCGAACGGGAGGATCTTCGGAACTACCGTCCAATATGCCTGCTGAGTGTGCTATACAAGATTTTCACGAAGATTATCTTCGCTCGCATATCTAGGACATTGGAATGAAGCCCAACCCCAAGAACAAGCTGGACTCCGCAAGGGATTCAGTTTGGACCACATCCAGACGGTCCAGACGGTTTCGAGAGTCACAGAAGTCTGCCGAGAATACCGACTGCCTCTCGCCCTAACCTTCGTCGACTATGAGAAAGCTTTCGACAGCGTCGAAACGAATGCCATTCTGTCAGCACTAGTTGATCAAGGAGTAGACTCAGCCTACGTGAGGACAATAGCCGACTGCTACAAGGACTGTGCAACAACGATGCAGCTGTTCCATCGCCCCCTAAACATCCCAATCGGAAAGGGGTTCCGACAAGGCGACACAATCTCGCCGAAGCTGTTCACCGCGGCCTTGCAGCGGTGATGAAATCACTGAATTGGGACGAGGGAGGCATACGAGGTGATGGGAGATTCCTGTCGAACCTTCGTTTTGCGGACGACATCGTTCTTTTTTCGAGCAGTATCACTGAAGCTGAGACGATGTTGAAGGAACTAAACGAAGTAGGGAAGAAGATCGGATTGCGAGTAAATCGGAAGAAGACCCAGTTCATGAAGAACGCCTTTGCGAAGATGCAGAAATGGAATTGGAAGGCACCCCCATCAGAGACGTCTTCTTACTTGTATCTCGAACATTCGATGAACATGGAGAACGACTTGAGGGAAGAACTTAACAGGAGAAGAAGAGCAGCCTGGGCCGCCTTCGGGCCTCTGAAGGAAGCCACCGACCAACTGACGACCCGGAGCTTTGCCCACCTGTTCGACTCAATCGTTCTCCCGGCGCTCTCTTACGCAGCTGAAACTTGGGCCGACAACGTAGCCACGTCGTAAGCTCTACGGACCACCCACAGAGCGCTCGAGCTCAGTCTTCTGAAGATGACCCGACACAAGCAACATCTAGTCGGACTTCGCAGTACGGATATGAGAAGAATGTCCCGTCTTCGTGACCCAGCGGAATACGTTGCGAAAGCGAAACACCGATGGGCCGGTCACATAATGAGAAGAACAGACGACAGATGGACACTAAGATCATCTGAGTGGATTCCTCGCGAAGCCAAACGTCCTCGAGGAAGACCACCGACGAGATGGGCAGACGTGTTCGTGGAACGGATGGAGCAGCTGAGAAAAAGCTGGATACGATTTTTGCACCTAAAACTCGTGGATGCAGCCACCGACGGCAACTAAGAAGATCGTGGATGTCTGAAGCGAAGGACAGGGACAAATGGGAACTCTTGTGCTGGGGCCGCTACGTGAAGACGGGCCATCTAAGTATCTAAGTATGAACTGTAGGTAGGTCTGCACTTGAGCGGTGGTAAGGTGCCCTGCCCCAGTACCCTGCAGTAACATTCAGAACCGTCTGTATTTCTCAAAGAGATATTGAATGGAAACATTTTCGTTATTCAGAGGCACGATATAGTTTTTTCGGCGATATCGCACCAACTATTTCATATTTCAACTATGCTTTAGCATGATTTATCGAAATACATTCAAATTTTCGGGCGACCGAACACACATATCTTATATATAAATCTGAATGTCTGTTTGTATGTTTGTCCGTCTGTCTGTCTGTACGTTTGCATATCTGTCTGTCTGTCTGTATGTCTGTATGTCTGTATGTCTGTATGTCTGTCTGTCTGTCTGTCTGTCTGTCTGTCTGTCTGTCTGTCTGAACGTATGTTCCGAATAGAAAATTCCATTTCTGAACCGATCTGGACCAAACTTTGTACACTACACTTCGGGGCCGGGCGGATGTCATAGATCACTTTTCGTCATCGTTCGACATCGATTTTATCGATTTTTTGCAAAGTTTGAGCTTCGGGGCTCGGATTTGGCACAGGGGGATGATCGAGCAAGCTGATTACTAAAACAGCGGGAATAGTGATTTGGCATGTATGTGTGGGCACAGGAAAAGTTGTACTGCATAGGGATGAGAGCTCTATCACAGTGCTTTGACAATGCCGGGCGGAGCCGGGTAAGCCAGCCAGTAGTTTATAGAGCTCAATTCAAACCGTGAGCGATGTTAAAAAGAAAAGAATGCATTGCTTCGCTTAAAGGCAGCATTCCGGCAAAAAGATGGGTGTCGGGTTTTTGTGGCGATATTAAAGGCAGCGTCCGGGGTCCTGGTAAGGCTCTTGCCCAACTGGCAATACACCAATTTGCTTCTGAAGCAAGAAATCCGCTTCAGAAGTGGCGACCGGAACGCCCAGCGACCGGGACGAGTTAGTTCGATAAGCCAGAGTGCGCATACCGCACACAGCCAAGACGTAGACGGTCCCACAAAAACTCTGCGTCTTAATCTTGGCGGCAGGCGACGAATTCAACATAAAAGTTCCTGGAAAAGCCCGTTTTCGGCGTTTTCGTGCCCTCCAAGCTGCATTTTCAGGATCAGCGGGAGGAATAAGCCCAGGTAAGCGAAAGAAATTCCATTCGAAATTTTGCCCGAACGCTGCCTCTAAGTAGACCCTCTACCTGAGCGATGACCAGGGTCAAGCAAGGGGTGTGGCACACGATCGCTGGTTACAACCCCCCCCCCCCCTGACTGCTGTCTTAATTACACCCCCCCCCCCCTGAATTATATACCTAAGATAGCATTACCTGAAGGCCCTGCCAAACATAATGGGCAATATATCCATAATGAGCATGTCAATTAACCCCTGTAGACGAAGTTTGAGCGAATTCTGAAGATTCAAGATACTAGGCTACCTAAGTGAAATGGTCATTTTCCAACATGATTAACTTTGTTTCAAAGATGAAGTAGCTAGCTATTTTTGCACCTAAGCAAAGCACTACTCCTTCTTTGTCCATCTCAAAAATCCCGCTTCATAAGACCTCCAAACTGTAGAATTAGAAGCCAATCAAAATCTCTTTTTTCCCATTTTTCGCTTTTAATGGTTGTGCTTTCACCAAATATTACTCAGAACAAAAAAAAAACGAATCAGGCTCAAATCACTCTTGTGAAAACCAGGAGATCTAGGCCATAGATCCATATAAATACCGTTTGCTAAAAATGTTTTTATGACATAGTTAATGGGCTGTGGCACACCCCCTTAAAAGCTGTGGCTGCCACATTAACTATATAAAAAAAACATTTTTAGCGAACAGTATTTATATGAATCTATAGCCTAAACCTCGTAGATTCCACTGGATTGTTTTGAGCCTTCTTCGTCTGCAAATTATGGATATGATACGAATATCATGTTATCACTATTATCAGGTTACCCAACTACGACCCCCTCCCCTTTTGACTTCTCAATACGACCCCCCCCCCAGGTGTGGCGTGCCACATCTCACGCTTGACCCTGGCGATGACTGAAGTTCGGAGCGAAAGAAGGGGTCTACCAAGCCTCAAATTTGCTGCGAAAGTGGCCCGAATCTTACGGTAGGCCCGGGCGCGCCCACACAGCAATATCGATTTGCAAGGCCAGAGTGCGTATAGCGGACACAGTCTTGAGCACAGGGTCCCGCAACGACTCTGCGTCTCTACCTTGCATGCATCTCGCACTCGCCCGAGCCTACCGTAAGATTCGGGCCACTTGAGGGGCGATTTGTAGACTTCGTAGACTCCCTTTCGCGCTGCAAACTTCTGTCCTCGCTTAGTTAGGTGGTCTACTATTAATTACTACCAGAGCCAGGTACCCCCAGTCTGGTGGACGCTGCCTTTAACGCAATGCAGATGTTAGTAAGTGCAACGGGTAATGGTCATAGGGACTCCCCCATATGACGACAGCCAGGGAGATTCAGTAGCTTTCTTTGCCAGACAGGTTTGAATAAAATTTGAATGAAACATTTATATCAAACCGAAACGTTAGACCGAATAAAACATTTATATCAAACCGAAACGTTAGGCCGAATAAAACATTTATATCAAACCGAAACGTTAGACCGAATAAAACATTTATATCAAACCGAAACGTTAGGCCGAATAAAACATTTATATCAAACCGAAACGTTAGGCCGAATAAAACATTTATATCAAAAGAAAGCTACTGAATATATGACATAATGCCCAGGTTTTACAAACAGAGAACGTACGAGATATTACGTGAAGTACAGCCAGGGAGATTGCCAAAAGGCTGGAAAGCCAGAATTTTGGAAAGGAGAAGCAGTGTATACTGTAGCGCATATTCCCGTTCTCACTTCCCCTTTCATGAGGCGCATCTGATACTACAGTGTCAAGCAATACTCATCCTTCAGTGTCCCATCTCGCGACTTCGAAAATTTCGGAATCAGACATTTCTCCGATTGTGCAAAAGCAAAATGTGCAACTAGGTATGTCAAAAGCCCTTAGAAAAGAAACGCTACGATATAAAATTATGGAAAATTTTCTATTCAAACGCATGCATTTTTGCGTAGGCATGAAGGCTTAGCACACAAAAAATCGACTATTTCTTACATGGCGAGAACCCTTCCAGTACGATTCGATAGCGCTTTCCTTCCATTTTACTTGAACACCAGTACGAAATTCTTCGGGCAAGCACTTGTTGACAAGCTCGGGCAGATTATAGAACTAAATGACATCTTAGGAATTGCTCCTTCTTTATCAAAGGCAGACCTCAGCTTCTCTCCTAAGTGCTTCTTTGGCATCATCGTCAGATGGAGGAACAAAACGCTCGTCATCTCGTAGATAATCCAATACCTGAACTGAGAAACTTCGCACTAAGACTGCGAATCATTTCTAACTTTGGCAAAAAGCAGGGGATTCCTATCTATGAACAGTTCGTCTCCATTTTGCATTTCCTCGGCCACCATAGCGGAGAGCACCTTTTCAAATATTGAAATGTCTGCGATGAACATGAAAACGCGCTTCAACTTACACTTTCATTCACTTTTGTGAGAGTGGAAAGGTAGGTCTCAAAAACTGTACCGCCAACGTTGATTTTCACGCGCGTGTATTTGGGAGATAGGATTTTGTCTCCCTGAAGATTTTTTCATTGTCAAAATTCAGTAAACATAATATAGTCATCATGGCAGGAAAGAAAATGGACAATACTGCTTTTCATCCAATTTCGTTTCACATTCATCAAACCCACCATGTTGACGGCCGCCTGGAGCTGATGGAAATCGACGAATGAGTCATGGAAACGGCGCAGATGTTGTGCTTGTGAACGAGCAAATGACACTGAAATTCCAGAAAGAAGCGAAAAGATCTTTATATTAGAAGACTCCAACTTACACAATCTATTCTTGATACTAGAAAATCGTGATAATTAGGCAATTTTCCATATTCACAAAACAAGCAAACCTGTTTTTCTAAAATGAATTGCTCTTGCTGTGGCGAAACACTTTGAGGTACTAAACACCAATAAAAAACGGGCTGCCTGTTAGAGGGCGAGTTGGGCGAAAACTCGATCATGCCTGACCATTTTTCAACATGTCTCAGATAGCACCTCCATTCTAGTTACCGAGGATTCCAAAATTTTTCTTCATTACTGTAAACCGTACATGCAATCTCATGTGGAATTAGTATACTTTCGTCTTCGAAGTAATCGCCGGCAACTCTGTTCCGCAATCTTCAGCGAAATGTAGATCGAGTTTTGTTATACCGTATCAGTGGAGACATGTAGTTTACGAATATAAAAACTAGAATAAATGAGGCGGTTTACAGTCAAGAAGTTTATCCAATGAGAGGAAAGTAAAATCGCTAATATAAAGAAAGCAACCAATATATCTTACCGAAAGGTTCGATTTTACGTCATATGGTTCGATGGTTAATCCGCTTTCAGCTACCGTATGTGGAACTACCGTATACGTTGTTGAAATCAATATGTATTGACCCTCGGCGCGCCCAAAACCTCTACCAAAATTAACAGTCAAATAATAATTCTGGATTCATGTAAATACTCTGCGTTGAGTAAACCTAGCCAGTGAAACAAGATTTCAACGAGATCTAAAATCTGAATCTCACAGAATAACAACTGCAACTATCTGTGGATCGCCAATTTATCCAAAGCTTATAAAGACTACTAATCCAGAATTCTAGAAAATTGTTCTCCACTTCTCGCAACGTTCGTTCGCTTATTGGAAGACTGCAGAGGAAAGCTCAATGAGGTTTACAACTTTATTAGATACTAAAACGGCAGTACATTAAACACATCAAGTGTTGGACATGACAAGTTTAAGACTTTTCATAAAAATATTTTGTTTCTATTTCTCACTTATATGAGAAACTCGCATTTAATGGGGAACTTCTTAAGCAGCATCAGCACATGCGATTAATCAAATCATAGTCAATATGGCTGTTCACACAAGAACAAAGAGATCAACGTCTTGCCAGCCGCAGTGCAGGTTGTGTAAGATGTGTGCGCCATCCAACGTTCCATTCTACAGTGCAGCAAGTCTTTGAATCGAGCTGCAAATCTTCATTTTTGAATAAACAACAAGTTTCGTAATTTCAAAAATTGCATCACCTGCGTCACAAATCCTTTCATGAATTGCATTTCGTGCTTTACATGAGTCCACCCTTCGTAGCTGTTTGCTCTAATGTCGAGACGAAGCGCTATACGATTCAGGCTGAAGGGGGTCTCCTTGCAACCACACTCGAAACCTCCAGCAGATTCATCCAGTGCCCTAAAAAACGGCAGTTGAAAGAATATGAGAAACCATCTTGACGATAAGAGAAACAAGGCTTCACATTAGTTGCTCCGACGAAAATCGCGGATTTCGCTAAAACTTCGTCTAAAGTGATTATTTTGCACGCCAATTACCACGGCAGTGCAATTCGGTGGAGTTACGCTAGGCCTCGCTAGGGGGTCAACATTACGGAGATGCCCCAAACTTAATCTAATGGGCTTATTCAGCAAGCTGAACATAAAAAATCGTGTTCATTTCCTACGTAACGCATCTTGGGTTGCGGCGGGTATACGTTAAATTGCTAAAAATCCCAGTTTATTCAAAGCTTTGCCTAAAGGGGTTTCTACGTACACTAACTACGAATGTCATACTCTCTTTGCATTCTGGAACTTTTCCGCGGACTTACGATAGGTGTACGGTAAGTGGCCAATGTAATAGATCTGCTCCAATTTTTGTGCATGTGTGTTATTTATCATGACGTGCTGATCCGGTTAATCGCACTAGTCTCGCATGATACAGACTTTGCTTGGATTTTTAGGATTTAGGTTGGTTGAAAAGCGGAAAAGTTGCTCTTTCATGCACTGTAGCCCATCGTAGCTCTAACAGTAAGGCACTGTTGCAGCCAACGAGCTTGAGTTCAATCGGCATGCTCAAGAACCCGTTCAGGCAAATTTAGCAAAATTCGGGATTCTTAGTCATCTACCGTCTACACACCATAACCCGAAAAAACGGCGCACCGTACGAAATGAATATTGTAATCATGTCGAGTTAAGTCTTAATTTTTCCATTTTGAGTTACGTTTTACTTGAATGTTTGATAAAATGAGCCTTCCTAGTGTTTGCGCTTGAGAAAATTTATGAAGCATCTCGTATTAATTCAGATCTGGCAGAAGTTAGTAATTCTTCCAATCACTAAAATTTCCCTGTGAATTTAACGTATTCAAGAATATCTTGCAAATTGTAGTTTAGGAACTTTTATCCAACTCTTCATGCATGCATGCAACTGATTTTTGTAATATAGTTCCTTTCTTTGTCGATTTGGATCACACTGATCCAAATTATCGAACTAATTTTGTAATGGAATGAAAACTCATTAATCGCATGGTGGCAGAGGAAAGAAGGGAAGTATAAGCGTATAAAGATCCTAACAATAGGAGAAAGCGCTGATTTTGCTATTCGAGAAACTCGGTCTACTCCTTCCAAAGTAGATCCTTCTGATGTTGAGAGAGTAATCGGGTTCTCAATAGTTATGTTCATGGACTTACTCAGAACTCCTGATGCCAAATTAGTTCCCTGATGACCAGCATTTTCCGATTGGTCAACTAGATTCTCTAACACTTCGAGATTAACCGAGAATTCTATATAAGAAATTGTGCGCAATTTATCCTAAAATAAATGCTCAAATACCACTCAAAATTATTTATTAGAAATTTGAGCGGACGCTGCCTTCAAGATATGCTCTCCGATTCTATAGGCTTGCTTCGATATCTCTCACCTAGCGATAAATTTCCAATATGCTTCTATAGCGGCCTCATTCCACTGCACGCAATCACCCGCATGAAAACCCGGGGAGCACAATTCGGCAAGGCCAGGAAGATTGTAGAACTGCAAGTAGCCAACTACGACACTACATATTTTGCAAATATGGATCTCACCTCAGCTTCGCTTCGGAGGCTCTCTCGAGCTTCAAGATCCGCAGAAAGAACAAAATTGTTTCCATCTCTCAAGTAGTTCAGTATCTGAAATACAAATTTCCTTAGATTCTCTGTCGAGGAAACTGGCTAGAATGGTACTTTTTCAAAGTGCGTTTTCGATCCACAAACAGTTCCTCTTGATTCTGCCAGCGATCCGCAACCATAGTAGAAAGTACCTTTGAAGTTTCATTTACTAGCCGAAGGATTGGAAAATTCGAAAAAATTAGAACTCACAGTATTATCTTATCCGCTCTTGTCAGGGTGGAAATCGTAGTCTCAAAGATAGTTCCACCCGCGTTGATTTTCACGCGTCCATGACCTTTTAAATGATCGCTTCTCTCCTAAAATAGGATCATTTTCATCGATAGAAACCAGCATGTAAACATGAGTACGCAAAAATTACCGCGGTCGATGACATTATCCTCAGAATGTCAGCTCACTGGCTGCACATATAGGGACTACGCCTACTAGCAAACAAAAGCACTTTGGAGTGGTCCAAGCACGAGAGCATGTTTCTCAATCACCGCGGTCTCACTGTGCGAAACTTTCTCAAAACATGAAACAGGGGCTGCATATGCAACTGAAATTTCCGAAGCACCTAAGTCTATGACTATACCGCAGCGGAAAGGGAACGAAAACTCCGCCAATTGAACCGCCTGCGCGGACTGCTGGTCCTGCAACGACATGCAGCAGTATAGCAAAAGAACCAATTGCCAGCGAAGGCGGGCTAAGACTGGCGGAGTTCGTTTCCCTACCCTAAGGCACTTAGGGTAGGGGAACGAACTGATAGATTCTTCTCAATTCTGAAATTAATGGGAGCATTTAGAAATGAAGATCATTGTCATGAGACTGCGCATCGTGTAGAATGAGGTTGACCCTTGCTTCTTAGAAAGCGCTTTTCCTTTTCGCAAACTTGATCTTCAACTTACCAACCTGGCCCCAAGAAACTCTAAAGTAGAAAGGCTTTGCGGATGACTTCTAACATTTTTTAGAAACGTTACTGTGATCAGATAGTTCTTACGTATACAAAATCGTTGCTTGTAGGCGATTTAGTCGTTTGTAGTGGTCTCGTTTGAAAAGCGTGACTATTGCATGTAGGAGATGCAGTTCACATCAACAACATAGAATGGTTTGCAAAGACCTGCATCGGTTCAGCTACAAACAAATCCTGAGAAAAAATAACTGAATCTGTTTCTTGCGAAACCGCCAATACGATATTCTCAACGCTTTCATACTTGGTGGGGGGGGGGGGGGAGAGCGGGTCGCGAATCTTTGAAAGTTACTTACATAAGTTTAAAAAAGTACTAGCGACTTGTTCATATTTGTAAAAACGGTACGCCACTGGCACATTACCTGTTCTGAGCTGGTGGAAGAGTGCTAAGGCTCAGAAAGCTTCTTGCTCACAAATGCTACCGCCCAAGATATAGCGGTCGAGTACTCTGTAGCCTTTGGAGTGGACGCTTCGTTATAAAAGATTTGAAAAGTTTGACTGTTCTGCTAACATTAACGACAAACAAGCGAAGCTTTTCCTAATAGGCCTTGTAAACGGATTCGTGCTAGCGCCGTGCCTGAACATCGATCGATCAATACAGGGCGCGTGCAAGGATTCCGACACGGCGACAGCACGGCCAGGGCCCGGCACTGATGGTTTGGGGTCAAACTGGACTTCGTTTCTGGAGTTAGAAGCAACGGGGACATCGTATTTATGAGGTCCTGGAGGAAGCGCCAAAAAAACACGACGAACATGTCAGGTTTCACGAGTTGACGTGTTCTTTCGCAAGCGCGCGAATTTCAAATGCAAGACTCAAACAAACAAATGGCTTGTTTACATCGCACAAACAATCACATGGCTCCGAATTTGGGCTATGTGTATAGAATATTACTCCAAACTATGTTATGTAAAAAGTTCCCAAAACTTATGTGTCCTAATATCCGTTCTCGAATTTGTTGGTTTCTAGACCAACTACCAAACCAACTGGGTTGGTTCGGAGCATAAATATCGGAGAGTTCACATAAGTTTTGGACCTTTTTGGTTTGGACGATTAGAACGGTCAAAAATCTATCATATAGTGAAGAGAGCGGATCAAACCGTTGCCTCTCCCCTTTTTTAAGTCAAAAGTAGTATAATTCTACGCGTTGATAGATATCGCGCTCCAATCACTTGCGGTGACCTTTGAATGTGGCGAAATATGCATCGCAGGATTGTTGAGGCTACAGATTTGGTTGGCCTAGGAGATTTTCGACATTCCCAGCATCAAAATGGTACTATACCCAATGGCAGAGCCTTTAATCGACTCGAAATGTTTTCTTTTTGCTTTTTTGTTAAATTACATACCTCAAAATGCGCTTTTTTCGCTTTTTTCTTGCTATTTTGGTTGAATTAGGGGTTTCCGTACTGATTTTCACGTCGAGAGGGACTTCGTAAATTTTCGCGAAGTCATGGGGGACTTCGTTTCCCTGAAAACCTCCAAACCAACGCGTGCCGGGCCCTGAGCACGGCTCTGGCATGGCGCTGAAATAATTTCGGCACTGAGGTAACATCAGTTGCATCAGCATAAGTATGCAAGAACTTGGAGATGACAGGGCAAGCACCTCCCAGAACATCTCATCGCTTCTATCTCGCACATTATTTTCGATTTTTATGATTTTTTTCGTAGCAGATCGGATTTAACCATTTTAAGGAATAATTTTTGACAGTATAGTTTCGCTCGATCACACTCCAGGTAGTGCGCCCTACCTCTGGTTTATGCTATATCAGCGCACAATACTACCCTCTACGCGGAATGCGTAATCATGCTGCTAGGACAATGATGCTAATTAAGTTGTGTACCCAAAGCAGCTTTTCGTCTCACTCTCATCATTATAATCTTTTCCTTAAGGCGCTGCAGAGTTCCTTTACTTACCTATTTGTTGCCTTCAGAACTGGTCCTTAGGGCATTGCTAGAAGATGAAAGTCGTCTACGAACATTGCTCACGCACCACGCACCACAGGGCTCTGGACCCCTTAGCCGGCTCGGGAAAATTGCAACTGCGGGCTCTTCACAGTCACATGGCCTTCTGGATCCGGTAAGTCCGGGACTGTGCTTGAAAAGTCAAAAGTATTTTTTTTGGCGTATTCCGGCCTTGGAGGTTGCTGAGCGGGCCGGGCGAGCGATTCCCGCCATAAAACGGCGACTGGCTGCAGGAAACTGTAGCTCCACTCATTTCGGCGGCAACTGGCTGATCGGCTCAGGCAGCCAATCGCGAGTCAGTCGGCGATCGCTCGCCCATCCCTCGAGCAATAAAGACCGGAATACGCCATGGAAAGCACTTTTTTTGACTTCCCAAGCGCAGCCCTGGACTCAGCGCATCCAGGAGGCCAAGGGAGGATGTAAAGCTCGCAATTCCAACTTCCCCTAGACATTGTCTTTGAACAAACCAACTACTTCCGCGCTTCTTCAGCTCTGTAGCAGCGATTTGTACTAATTACTGGAGCAAACAGTAACGACTAGATTTTATATGTCATCAATATCACATGTTTTTAGAATTTTTCAAAGTAGTGGTTTGATGGACATATAGCTGCTTGCAAAATACCAATATCTATTATAAGAGAAGGAAGGAATAGCCTTATCAAAATCAGAAGGGAACTTGTATTCCTTGCGGTATACTAGGTTGAGTGCTCTCTTTTTGATTACCCTGTGTTCTCCAAAACGCCTAGAAGTATTGTGCTAGCACAGAAAGATTAGCTTAGCTTAGAAAATAGCTATATTTTTCTATCACATTTTCGAAAACAAACAAATCTTTTCTTTAAAAAAGACTTACGGGTAAGTAGCCAGTAGTGTGCTGATAGCAACACTTGCGTACGCTCCAGCTGAAAACTGGCTGCCTACCGTAAACCTATCGTACCCAGACACATTTATATATATCAAAAAATGCGCGATGTCTGAGTGAATTGAAATGGATTCCCGAGTTCTGCAGAAAACCATTTCCGCGGAGGCGGATCCTGTTGGCGGTATCTGGTATCCTTATGTAATATTTACAGAGCTTGATTCGAGAAGCTGCAGCATCTTCATAGGGTGGAAAATCTAATTGCAATTTACCACTGCTGTAATAGAAAAGCCAAAATATAGACAACAGTTTTCTATAGATCTATTGCGATGTTGCCAGTCGAAACGCAGACTGTGGAAAATGCGTCCACCATCCGTTGTCCCATTTCACGGTACAGCACAACCTCAAATTTACCTGCAAAGATTCCGGATAAAATCTGAGTGTTTTTGTGTCCGTTACCTTACCTCCGTCACAGTGCCTTTCATGAATTGCATTTCATGCTTCACGAACACAAATTCTTCATCGTTTTGTGAAGTGGTGAGTTTACAATAAGATCTCGACAACACACGAACTCCCACTTGGGATCCGCAAATTTCGCAGGGGTATGCTTTCTCACGAAAGCAGAAGCGTTCGTACCTTATAGAGAGACTGCTATTTGGTTTACCCTCTGTCTCATCCAAAGTGAGCACAAAGCGGCTCTGGTTTTGCGCGGCCGCCTCCCTCGTGATTGCACCGCGGTCGCGAACGTGTCCTTTAACACGCTTCGGACCGGTGCTGCACATGGTGCAGCACGCTGCTTCGAAGGATCATTTTGTCGCTTACAGAAGGGTTTCTTTTAGTCTAAGGTTATCAAGTCAAAGGTCTGAGCTCCTACTTCTCAGAAGACTCTGTAGAGCTGGGTTGCCGATATTTGTTTAGGAGATATGAGGACAAATTGAACGACAGTTGCAACAAAGTGCGGCAACGCGAATGACGCGTGCGATCGCAACTTTTCTTTGCTTTCATTTGAAAGAGAAAAGCCGTAGTTTCAATAATGATATGTATCGCGTGCAACATAGATACTTTTGGATAGTATTAGAAACTGAGTTCTTGCTCCTATCTTATAAGAAAACAGAGAAATTCCCAAGTGACAAAATTCAAACACTTCGAAATCACTCAGAACTTTGGTATGGAGCTTATATCTGACATGCTGACTACAGGTATAGCTCACAGTTCACGAACTAAAGCCTTTTTGTTGGTCAATGGGTGAAAGCACACTCTTTTTGGCCGCGCGCGATTTCGCGGTCCGAAACGTGTTAACCATTTTCCCACGCCTGATGAACAACTGGAACTCGACTATGAGCTTTTTCCCACACTTAGGCGCCGAAAGATGACTAGACGACAAGTTTGCGAACGCAAATTCAAGTTCTGGGCAAGTTCCAGACGAGGCGGCCGCGAAGGACCCAAGCTGCTCGAGTCAGGCTCGCCACCAGTTGAGACGAGGACACAAGAAAATGATTGTATCACAAAACAAATATGTTCTGTTTCATCCGGAATGGAGTTCAGATGCGCTAGTCTGCTTCGCAAGGTTCGGGTCGCATCGCTACACTATTCTGTGTTATAGGGAGAAGGGCACTTGCCTGAGTCTTTTTACACTCGACCTTTGCAAAATGCCAGCACTGAGCGCTCGCCCGTGCCAGTTCATGCCCTTTACAAGATGAGGAAATGGCGCTTCCATATGAAATGCATACAGTCCTACTAGCTGGCATACTCGCTCAGCCCAGCCCTATCAAAACACTTAATAAAGGTCCCACCCCTAGCCCATATCTCAACAACACACGATTCTCCACTTTGGATCCGCAGATTTTGCAAATGCCAAATTCTCCTCTCAGGGAACTCTGTTCGTGGCATTCGTACCTTATAAAGAGACTGCTATTCAGCTGCTATTTAGTTTACCCTCTATCTCAACCGGAGTGATGCTTGCTTGGCCTTGTACCGGCTAGCGAAAGGGCTCTCTAATGATTTTATCACACCTAATCAACGATTGAAGCTAGGTACTGGTCGCTTAGGCGTGAGAAACAGGGCCCGGCACAGATCGTCTGGAAGCAAGCTGGACTTCGTTTTTGGAGCAAAAAGCAAAGGAGATATCGTTTTTGACGAGTCGGGGGCCAAGCACCAAGAATAAGCGCCATTTAGTCCAACACAAGCTTTTTGGGCAGGTTATCACACGATTGACATGCTCTATCGTGTATGGCGAAAAGTGCGCGCGATTTGAAAGCAAGGCTAAAGTAAACAAATTGCTTGTTTAGAGCGTAAACATAAGCTTTTAACACCAAATTTGTACCATATAAGTAAAATATTATTTAAGGAAGACCTATGTAAAAAGTTTTGAAAACTTATGTGAAATAATACCTTTTCCAAAATTAGATCGTCTCCAGACGGCCACCAGACGATCTGAGATCGTCTGGTGCATATATTTCTGTCACTTCACATAAGTTTCGGATCTTTTTAGCATGGACGGATTCCCCGATCAAAAATGTATCCCTGAGCGTAAAGACATTTTCATATCATTGCCTCTCCTTCGTTTTTTGCCTTGATATCTTCATGAATCGCTTTGTTAGATATCGCGCTCCAATAGCAAACTCTTGTGCATGCATAGTAATCAGCTCCAACTTGGATTTTCTTGCTTATCTCACGTTTTTTCCTTCATACTAGTAAATCTTTCTTGTTTCCATCTTCTTCTAAGCAGGTAGGTCAAAGGGGACTTCGTAAAACTACCGCAAGTCAGGGGAGACTTCGTTTTCAAAAACCCTAAAAACCGACTCGTGCCGGGCCCTGGTGAGAAAACGACCAGACGACAATTTGCGAACGCGACATAAGATGCAGGCGAGGCGGCTGTGCGCGAACACGAGTGTTCGAGTCGAGCTCATGCCAAATGAAACAGAGGATACGAAGTGAAGATGATTGCATCACAAGAAGAATTAAAATCTGTATCGTTCAGAACAGGTTTCAGATGCGGTTTTTCTGGAACTTCGATCACAGGGGTTATTTAGCATGCTGATCACAATCGTACTCATTTGCATAAAAAGACCTTTTTGGTAAGGCTACGGTAGGTGTACTGTAGTGGGTCAAAATCACGGATTTGGTTGACTTTAGTCTAGAGATGTTATTCGACATGCTTGTAACGATACCCTTGCAATTAAGGACCTTTTCATAAAGTTACGGTAGGTTTCTGGTAGGGGATAAAATCTTGAATATGGCTGAGAATTTGGTCTATAAGTGTTATCCAATATGCTGACCACGAATATGCGCTCATTCCGCATGATAAAAGATCACCGTCACTCCATAATAAGGCGTCAGCGAGCAAGCATGATATTCGTGATCAACATGCTTAAGACCCCTTTGAGCAAAGTTTTGAGCAAAGTTTTGAGCAAATTCTCATTCTGGACGCATATACCGTATGCCCACCGTAACCCAAGGAAAAAAACAAAACGCTGCCATGAGAATTCAATATGAAATATATGTTCAGCGTGCCGAATAGCCCTCCTGGAAAAACTTTCGAGTAGATCGTGTAACCCCTTACCGTAAGTCCACAGATGGATTACTATGCAATAATGTGATCTTCCGTATTACCGTGAAAAATATAGACTGCTGCATGAAGAAGGCGCAATATCTGGGCGCGAATGCGGCTTTTTTAGCCGCAGAGCGCATGGAGCGCAGGATTTACAACGGTGAAGATACGCGCGTGCGCATTTGCGTCCGCTCAGCTAAAACGGCTTCTGCGCCTTCTTCATGCAGTAGCCTTTATTTAAGTTTTGTGATCAACGCGCAATTAAGCCCTAGACGCAACTTGCGAAACCTACAATCTGCATTGGGTCTGACAATGTGGGTGGAATAAAAGGTTCATTGAAAGCTGATCCCTGACGAAGGCGTTCGGTTTATTGTGCAAAGCGGCTGCGAACAACGTGATGAGCACACTTCATGATTGAAGCTCGCACGCCTGCGCAGATCTCGCCTGCAGTCGAGTAGATTTTCCGCTTGATATAGGTGCTTGCACTGAAGGTGAAAGCGGTATTCGCGCGAACAAGAAGCCACGTCGGTAATGCCGGTCTTTTGCGCGCGCGATTGGTCGGCGTCATAGGCGCAGCTACTTGTCCACGAGCAAATTTTACCGTACTTCACGTTCAGTGCAAGCACACTATATTAAACGGAAAATCTACTCGACTATACATGGTCGTCCGCTTTCGTCTCTACATAGCTTTGACATACCGACAATATTTACCTGCCACAAAATGCCCAATATGCTTCAATTGCCTTTTCCTTCCACTGCACCCAGTCGTTTACATGCAGACCAGGCAGGCACAACTTGGCAAGCTCAGGCAGATTATAAAACTGCAATTTTGCCTATAGATACTCTCTTGCTTTTCAAGCTTCACCTCAGCTTCCTTTCGGAGGCTTTCTCGAGCTTCAAGATCTGCAGGAAGAACCATGTTTCCCCCATCCCTCAAGTAGTCCAGTATCTGAATTAGATAAAGGTTAGACTTCTCGAAGGAGAAATCTTGCATGATACTTTTCCGAAGTGAGTTGGACTTCGATCCACAAACAATTCCTCTTGATTGTGCCAACGATCCGCGACCATGGTGGAAAGCACCTTTAAAGATTGATTTACTATGCTGAAAGATGTGATGTTCAGAAAAGGATCGAACTCACAGTATTATCCAGTCTTGTCAAGGTGGAGATGGTTGTCTCAAAAATAGTGCCACCGATGTTGAGCTTCACTCGTCCATCACTTTTTGGATGATCGCCTCTCTCCTAAAAATGTGGTTTACTTCACTGTCGCAGATCACTGCACAAGAAAACAGTTTATGCAAAACTTACCTCATTCGATGACATCATTCTCACCAGGTCAGCTCACTGGCTGCACTTGTGACATGAGGGGTTAAATAACTGGACGCCAGATACTTAGCCAGCGCATTTGTGGTCCCAGCACGAAATCCCTCGTCGGCAGCACTTGGGCTACATTAATCATCGCAGACTTAGTACAAACGAAAATCTCTCTTGATAATACGAACTACGACTCGGGAGGGGCTACAGATGCAACTGAAATTTGCGAAACAGGTATAGTAGGCCAATAAGCCTGCGAATAAACACAGCTGACAGATTTTTCTAGGTTCCGATTGAGTGAGGTGACTTCAGGGGATAATTATTGTGTGGGACAACATACGCAGCTTTCGACTGGCAATTAGAACCCCTTGTGGATAGATACGGCTGGCTAAAGCGCAGCTAAGGTATCACATTTGTAGGGCAGGATGTGACAACAATTCGCATACATTTTGAATGAAGAAATGTTCAGAAAGCTGATTTCGAACAACTTCTTTGCCAGCTGCCGCACTGAACTTTGAGAGTATTGAACAAAAATTGTAGGAAAAAATTCATTTTTCACCTATTTTGGAAATTTTGGTGAGCTGGGCAACACTTGACGGCCGAGCAGAGACTTGGCTGAGATTGAGCCTTATTTCATAAGATAAGACTCAGTTTCATCAAATATAAATCAAAACAAGGATTACTATCGGGTGAGATCAATGTGCGAGGAATAATATGAGCGTCTGCCTTGATGTTTCGCAAAAGGCCTTTGGAAGTTTCTACATTTTTCATCAAATAAGCGTATTCCGCATTCGTCATCAAGGTGTTTTGTAAGCATGTTCTAGAAGAATACGTCCTCTCAGGGTTCACTGGTCGAAATCATTTTTTCCGAAGAACAGGGCATAATTCTATAGTTGAGCTATCGTGGACATACACAGTCCTTTCAAAGTTTCCTCTGTGTTTGTCTGCTCAGGTTTACAAAGGTTTACAAAGTATAGTGTGAAGCGAGGTTTACGAAGCCCAGAATGATGGAGCATTTAAGAAGGTTTGAAATAGTCCTTGTTTTGTCCAAAAGTGGCTCGCGTGGGAACAAACGCGTCGTGTGTGGAGATTGCATAAGAAGAAATGCAGAGGAAACTTTCGGAGCATCAACCCATTTACATATTTTTCAAGTTTTTTTTTGGAAGCTTTCTTCTACGTTAGGATAACGTAGAGACGCTGTGGAGCGCGAATTCGTCAATTTCAGTTTCACCACGTTCAACAGAGGGAGTTCACAAAACACGACTTTGACGATTACAAGTTTTTTCTATGATGAACATCGATAAAGAGTTCTAGGTCAGAATAGAAGGAGGTTTCATTTGTTCAAGGTGATACAGTGCAAGTCTTAACAGCAGATTATGAATTTAGGAGATTTTTACGTGTAATCTAACGATTTTTTACCATAGCATGTGCCACTGCATACTGCATGCATCAGTCCATTGGATTATCCTTGATATGGTGTGCTTGCGGTGCCGAGACTTTGCGGTGACATTTGCGCGTGAAAAAATGACTGGCTTGAGATGCCAATCTGCGCGCGCAAGTAACCTGCATTTCAGGCGTAGGTGCTTGTTCAAGCGCAAATTTTACCGTAAACTCTCGGCACCGCAAACATGCTCTATTGAGCGAAAAATCTACCAGACTGTATAATGCGCATCTTATCCTGGAATCTTTTTTGTTTTATAGGGACGCATAATTTCTCATAAATTTTGCAAAACTTTGTTATTCCCGACGCCGACAAATGTTCTGTGACTATGCAGAAGAGCCAACGCAGTCGAAATGGGATGGGCGATATGTGCAGTGTTGCATTTGCACATATACATACCCTATTTTCAGGTGTATAAGCCGCATCCTTTTTGCTCTAAACGCGAGCAGACCCAGGCGTGCCTCGCGGAGCGGTCGCTTTCTCGCACATTGTCACTTAATGCGCCCCATCGTAACAGGCAGTCTTTTGACGTGTGCGCCTTTACAGTAAAAAGGGTGCGGCTTATACACCTGAAGATAGGGTATATATATTCTAATATATAAAGAATTGTAAGGCGCATTCAATCATCAGATAGGGGAAACCGAGCGTCCCAAAGCGAGGGCGCTTACAACTATCACCTTTGTGATTAGGTTCACGGTGGGCACGCGGAAGGCGACAATGGGCACAAAATACTGTGAAATCACTTTGGGTAATTCTTACAAGATTTCACCTGTGGCATGGAGTCGTGTGTCTGCCCCCACCCTCCTGCCTTGGCGCCTTGTCACTTTGGTACCGAAGAGTTTTGAAAGGCATAAGATTTGCGGATTGTCGCCTTGTGCACCACACCCGTACTCTTCGATTTGAAGGGAATGGTGGCTGGAAGGCGGGGCTTCGAGGTCTAATCAAGGTTAGGGTATGATTCTCAGACAATTCACCGGAACCGCAGGACAAGCAGGGTTTGCAGCGATTCCGCAGCACTTAACCATTAAGAAAGCAGGTTTCCGCAGGTAATTGACGTCAGAGTGATCATACATCGGAACTTCCGCAGCACTTTATATGAAGCGCTGCGAAAATGCAATGAGGCTCGTAAGGTTTCCGCAGCAGTCTGACCTGCCAACATTCCGCAGGATTTTGAGAGCGCATGCGATTGCGAAATAGCAAACGCATCTTCAGCAATCAACATCGCTATGCGATGTTGATTGCTGAAGATGCGTTTGAGAGATAGAGATAGAGATTAGAGAGCACACTCGCGAGAGAGACGCAGATTGCGTCGCGCGTGTGAGCGGTCGCATTCCAGCCCCCAGTCCCGTTGAACCAAAGTGTGAACACCCACACAGCTACACTCTGAGATTCGCAAACATTGCAATTTCCACATTTGGTGGAACTCAGACACAATTTCTTTCTTCCGTGGTATTCGTACCTAACAGATAAAAATCTAATCTGGAGAAGCAGATGCTAGACGGGATGGGTTACCGGAGCAAGTGCACGGATTTGTAGGTTTGTAACGCGGAACATCGATATGGATCTCTTTTTCCTAGCTCTCCCTCGAACTGAGAAACTGACAGTGAGACGATTCAGATCGGTTAACAGATTTTCTAGTTTTTATCTTACTCAGAACCAGCCTTTTCCAACTTCAGCAATTCTCAGCAGGCTAATATCGTACATCTCACATACAGAGTGTCCCAAAATAATATATCGAACGTTTGATCCGAAGTGACTCTCTTGTAGGAAGAATTTTCGCGGCCATTTACACACCATATTGTAGAGCTTCGATCCAAGTTAGACTTCTCAGCATAAAATTTGGTTAGATTCTTTTCCAGAATGTCTTCCTGTGATTGATTCCCTTCATGAGATTTTTTGTACGATTTCTACATACTTAAACGTTAGGTAATTGAACAATCATTTTTTCGAGAAAAAAGAGCTGCAGTTTACTTTAGATTCCCATTCTTTGTTAAATAGAGCAATATCGCTACTGCGCTTTGCCATCGGAAATCAATTTGAAGCTTTTTGTCATTGGATTTTCCCTTACGGGATGTGCTGAGAGTCAAAAGATTCTTTTTTGATGCTTAACGCTAATCACTGCATTAGAAGGAGGGCGTGCAGGAGTTCCTAGCACCTTTCCTCGCACCAACTTCACACCAGCATTCGCACCCAAGAAGGTTTTAGCACCTCCGCCCTTAGAGGTCAGACCCCGCCCATTTCTCCACCCAGTTACTGGTCTCATTGTGAGGCGTCAAGCAGCGAGAACATAGATTCAGATATTAAGGTAATAAGAAAGAAAAATGGCGAAAACGGAACATATGTAGATATATTTTTCAGTTGAGGCGGTTCGGAAACTTCTACTATGCTATACTTTTGAAAAAAAAGCGTATTAACTATTTCCAGAAGAGAAAAATCGCACAGAATGATTGTTTTGTAATAAAAACCCGGTCATTCGAAATATTAGAGGTCTAGTTGACCAACTGTACATTATGGTCATCTGGTTGAAATAATTTAGCATCAGGAGTTTGAAAACCCAGTTACCTTCTCAACATTAGAAGAACCTATTTTGAAAGGTTCTTCTAGGTTCTATTTTGAAAGGGGCCAAAGTTCCCGAACAAGCACTCAACGCTTTCTCCAACAGTAAGATCTGAACACATACTTTTTTATCGTCTGCCATCATAGATTCAAATTGTTTTTCCACTACTCTAATGACCAATAAGATCCAAATTATCAAAAAAATCTCTTTTAAGTATGATATTTCCTACAGTTGATGTACTAGGATACCAAACTTCGTCGCTGATCGAAGAGTTGGCTAAGAGTTCAAAATACTACACTAAATTCGCAAGATATGGTAATTCGCTATATTCTTAGATGTATTCTAACTTCTGCTTGAATTTATATAATGAATAAGATATGCTTCTCAAACTTACTCAAGCGCGAGCACTTACAAGTTTTGAAGGAGCGTTATTTTATCTGAAAACATTAGTAGAACATAGCTCGGAATGCTGAAATTCAGCTGCATTCATTCACGGATTCCAAACCCGTACAGAAATCTAGAATTTCTTTTGTGTTTTTCAATTTCAGTTCTATTTCCTCATATATGATGAAGCACGCCTTACTGTGCGTGTGCACAACTCAGAATAAGGGCAACTAGAGAGTGATGGGCGGAGCCGACCTTCATGCCCAAGGTGTGATGTCCTTCAAGGGATTTCTGGAGGTGCCAAGTACCCCTGCGAGGAATTGCGGCTAGGCTTTAGGAACTCCTGCCACGCCGCCGCATTAGAATTGTTTAGAATAAAAAGTAGGTGCATCCTACTCGCGGATGTGCCAGAATCCTTTCAGGTGCTCTCGCTGGTGCTAATTATTCGCTTGGGGAGATGCTAGGCACTCTTGCTTGTCCTCTATAGAACTGCATGGAACACAATCAAGGTCAGTCGGTCTTGACACGATGCAAACTCACCCGCGGGGACCTGCACCATGTCATATCGTTCGCTTGCCAGTGATCGCTTGCTAGCATGGTAAGTCCATTGCTCTCAAAATTTCCTTGGACTCTGTTGATCTTAGTATTGCAGTCTATGTGACTGATAATCGCTACAGTCATTTCAGTGCCTTTTAGACAGACAAAAAGAAACAGCCAAGCTTCGGAGAAAGAGTGAAAATCAACGTCGGTGGCACCATATTTGAAACTTCGCTTTTCACTCTGACAAGACTAGACAATACGGTGTGTTTAGTTTCTTTTCCCTACCCTTACACTATCGTCAATTTGAGATGCTTTCTGCCATGGTCGCTAATCGTTGGAGAAACCAAGAAGAGCTCTTCATTGACCGAAGTCCGACTCATTTCGCAAAAGTAATTTGAACAGCACTTTTCCTTATGAAATATATGAAAGTATTTTTTCAAGGTACTGGATTACCTCAGAGATGGTGCAAGTTTTGCTCTTCCTAAAGACGATGATGCTCGACAAGCTCTTCGTAAAGAAGCTGAGGTGGGAATCGCAAATAGATTTGTAATTGGCCCCTTTTACCTGTACTTGTAGTTTTACAACATTCCCGACCTTGCCAAGATGTGCTGCTATGAGTTCAAAGTCTTAAATAAAGTGCAGTGGAAGGACAACAATGTTATTGAGGCATATTGGAAATTTCTTGTCAGGTATACAATCTTGCCATTGCGTAGTTGCGCTGCAGGCTGAGCCTAAGGCCTTGGGCATACTTCGCGCGATTTCACCCGTCACTCATTTTGGCGATCTGCCAAATGTCTTTAAAACCACCCTGGGAGAGATTTTGTACAACTTTGATTTGATAAAATGTCTCATATTCTACACATTAATTTGGAGCATTGCAAAATCGCGTGATGACGAAAGGGTGAGAGGTAAAGGGTGGTTCAAGACGAAGGCCCCCAAACGAAGCGTGCATGGTCGTGTGAGCTCACAGTGTTCGCTACCGGTCCGCAAATGAATCGACCACCTTCGTCAGGGATCAGCCTTTACGTCGAAGGCCATCAAAGGCACGTCCACCCAAATTCTCACTTCTATGCTATTTGTCGTTCCGGGACCTTCTCATGCCCCTGTACAGGGGGCTTTACAACCTGAGTGTCCCACCCGCCCCGCTAGGACGCCACGCTTAGGTCGGCGCAGCGTTCATGGCGCTGGCTGCGCGTCGACTGAAGCTTGGCGAAATCCGGGCGATACGCAGCAAACGCCGCGCGCGGCCTGAGCGAGGCGGCCGCGTTGGAGGAGCCGCGCAAGCGAAACTTGCGACTCTCAGGTTGAAAAGCCCTGTACAAATATCAAGTCGTGAATCCACGAAAACCCCGAAAATCGCCATTCTCTCATAATCCGCAGACTAATTCTAAGGAACGGTGATTGGTTGGATGCGCACGTGACGTTCGTCCCGCCCACTCAAAGGGGAGGAGCCAACGTGACAAATTCGTCATCGAGAGCGATTTGCGAAGCAGTTCTCTCACTTCGGAAGCACTTTTGGCAGCGCGAGTTGGGCAATTATTCAATGGGGGGGGGCATTAAAATCTTCTCGACCCCTTTCCACGTGGACGGTGCCTTTACGCGCATCTTTCCAAATTTGTGCGACTCGTCCCTTTCTCAGCGCAGGTGTTGTTCGACAACGCAGAGGCACCATACCCGCCATAAAATTTGCTAGATGTACGGTTTTTTCATAGTGCAGTATATTTGATCTATTTTTGTAATCCTATGTCTATTCTAGACATCTGTTTAATCCATCAGATAAGAAGACGTGTATGGCTTGTATGTGCACTGTGAACGGATATGTGGGTCCCACCACAACTGCGTCTTACAGTATGGGGCGTTCTGTGTCGCCTTCAAATTATGATAATTGGGTGCTCCTGAAGCACCATATGCGAACCATGAAAGGGACCGTGGCACAGGTAATATAACCTTTGATTCAACTGGCTTGGCTTCGGGAAGGCGGGGCTTTGTGACCTGTTTGAGGTCGCTCGCGCACGCGACGCACCTGCGTCTCTCTTGGGCAAGTGCTCTCTGATCACATTACCTAGCCTTAATTAGGGCACAAAGCCCCGCCTTCCCAGGCCAAGCCAGCTGAATCAAATGATACACTAGGTTTGAACATAAGTACGAGGGTGTGAACGCAGCAGATAAATCTGGTTATCTGCACTTTTCATATGTAAAGAAAGAGCATGGCTTCGCATGCAGCAGCTCACTCAGGCAGTTCACCGGAACTTTCGCAGAACAGGTCAAATTTGCAGCGGTTACGCGGTACTCTGTTAACTGTCACAAAAAATGGGAATGTTGAAAATGGGAAGTTCCGCAGAATTTCTACAGGCTGGTTGAAAACGGGAACTTTCGTAGCATTTTTTACAATGCATGCGGAAATTCCGAAAAATGCCAGCGGCTCCGCGCACTCTGACCTGCCAATACTTCCGTAGGTTTTTAAATATGTTGTTACTAACGATGTTGTTTGGCCACAACTAGACTGCATTATGGAACATGTCATCTAATGCAGAGGAACTAACTTCCGTTTGCTGACTTCCGCAGCTGACCTGGCGGAACTTTCGTAAACGTTCTGCGGAAGTTCCGGTCAGTTGTCTGAGCATATATATTCGTGATCGGAGTAGAATCTCGCGCTGTACCGCACTTGAAGACGCTGAATAGCAGTTCCTTGAAGAGATTAGATTACTAAGCTAGCATTTGGAGTCCAATTCTCTGTCACAAGTGGAGTATGAGCTGGCGCTCCCGGCGAGGGCTTAGCCAAGGCCTTCTGACCACTTTAATCAAAGCCATTACCTAGATATGCCTTTACAATAACTTTATTTGGTATTTGAGAGTATTGCAGGTGTTTGAGCAGTGCTGCCGTGTGAAGTATAGCTCTGCGCACGAGCTACATCTTCCGAAATCTGCATTGCGTTTATCGAGATAATCTTAGATTTTGCATGTATTCTTCGAAATTTTATTCTGTACTGAATGTCTAATCTCCACATCATGATAATGTTGTCCTCAGTGTGAAGCGAAACACCATCTATCTGTAGTCCATGCATATCTTGTGCCTCATAAAACTTTTTATTGAATAATTTGAAACCATTCTGTGCGATGCTCCAATCATTCTGATTTGGGTCCCTTGTTTTCTCGCTTCTGAGAATTACCTAGTAAATTTGTGGTCTTGGGACCATCGGCGCAATCTGTGCAAAGCAGTGGGGCCAAAGCTTTAAGAAAGAAATGGTGAATAAAATTGAAAGGGTTACCTTGAGTTTGTCTGTTACGTGCAACTCCAAGTAAAAGTTGTAACTATCCAGAAGAGAATGCATACAAGATAGTTATATGTTCTGATACGATCAACAAAAACAACGCGTCCCTTCTCGAATAATTTTTGGGCTGCCCACAAAGCTTTAAAACTATTCAAAAATTCCCTTTAAAATTCGTAAATCTTCAGAAATATGGAAAATCAACACTCCTGCAGTCTACTGTAAATTGACACTCACTCACTGCTCAAGCGCAACTTATTTTCATGTGACAATAATGGGCGAAAAGCCAACCCGACGCTGTTATCAGTACCGTACTCGAAGACGCTGATTGGTCCGCTCAGGTGGGGGTAGAGTTACTGGAATATTCCAGTCACGAATGATATGAACCGTTGCTTGCACACTGGCTTAGTTAGAACTCCCGCCGCTTTTAGTACAAGATTCATCAAGTGTTCATAATAGTACAGTCAAGTACAGTTGCGAGACTAAACAGTCTTAAGTTATTTCTGTTACCTCTCATTCGGATCGAAAGAATGAGTTGTAGCTTAGAGCGAGATGAAAGAAGAATTTGCAAGGGTGCAGCAACTTATCCCGGATATGTTCATATTTTAAAGTATACAAGACATAGCATTTGAATCATTTTTGAACATATTAGGTTGGCACGAAAGTTCTTGCGTAATTCAAACAAAATTCAATAACTTCACAAAGACTAAACCTAAATTCACAATTTTGAATGCTAGAAATATTAGAATTTTTACGCTTTAGGATGGATGTTCAAGCACAAGATTCCGCTGGCTAGACATCAAAAACGAAGCTTTCGAATATGGGACTTCAAATTTTGAGATTTTGAGTTTGGTGCCAGAAAATCACAGAGTGCCGCTAGCTAGCCGAAAAAAATCTGTAGAGTTTACTTACCCAGCAGAAGTCCATATGTTACTTTGGAAGGCTTTGATCTTACACGGTGAAGCCGAAACAAAAAATTCGTGAAATATGTCATTTTGCGGAAAAAAATCCCCTCATGTCCCCAGTTATTCTGCGAAAACACTTTTTTATACTCGAGAAAACGTCGCAAGGCTCTGAATAGGCACCAAGTCTAATTTCTGGTCGCAAACTGTGTTTCTGTGAAAAAATGGCAGTGATAAGGGGATTTCTCCTGTGAAATGAGAAATTTCACAAATTTTTTGTTTTCGCATTTCCATGCGATATCAAAGCCTGCTAAAATTACGTATAGACTCTTGCTGTGTAAGTAAGTTCTACAGATTTTTTTTCAGCTAGCTAGCGGCCCTCTGCGATTTTCTGGCACCAAACTCAAAATCGCAAAATTTGAAGCCCCATATTTGAGAGTTTTGTTCTCAATGGCTAGCTCATGGAATCTTGCGCTTGGACTTCCATCATGAAGCGTAAGACTTCTAATATTTTTAGCATACAAGATTGTGAATTTAGGTCTAGTCTTTGTGAAGTTATTGAATTTTGGTTGAATTACGCAAGAACTTTCGTGCCAACCTAATACTTCCTTTCTTACATCTATGGAGCACCCATTTGTGTATGAAATTTTTCTTACGGATTTCAGCCGTGGAAGCTGAGTTGCAAGTGCCTATCGGTTCGTTAGAACTGGCTAGTCAGCTTGAACCCCAAAACAATATCAAGGTAACTCTTATGAAGCTCACTTAGTTGGTTGCTGCTGTTCAGTGTAAGAAGAACTTAAAACGATTCTGGATAATGATCAATGAGCGAGGCAAATTTTTTTGCTTCCCTGGTGCTATTCTTCATTACTTCAATGGAAATGTAAAAGTCTATGGGAGTAATGATTGATCGTAAGAGGTCTTTTGATTTGAACACTAAATGCAGTGAAGGTTGAAGGAATTGTCCCGACAAAATTTCGTTTTCCAGTTTTTCACCTCTTCGGAACCTTCCCGCTATGCTAAACTCATATCTGGGCTTTGCAAAGCGTGAAAATAGCGAAAATGTGCTTTTTTAAAGGCTAGAAAGTACGTGTAAGTGGGCGGGGTTCGGAAATAGTGGGCGGAGTCTGGGAGACTTCCGCAGTAAATTTTAGGTTTTCCAGACGCGCTTTTTCGTTCAGACTTCACTAATGATCACCTGGGGGTCCGTTATTGCAACGCAGTAAAATCTCAATACTCATCATTTTGCCGGGTTGCCTGTGAAGCATCAAAGAAGCAGACAGCAGTCAACATTGCTTTCTGTCCTTCCTTTGTGTCGTTTCTCCGCTAAGAAGAACGGCATTTCGCAGATGCTTCCGTGAGTCATTCATCTGTGCTGTCTGCTGCGCTTGGCCTTTCACATGGTTATATAGTTGATTGATTAGGTTGGACCGTAGGTAATGTAACTATGTAACTTTTTGCTTTTTGGATGTGGCGCACAGTCTTAAGAAGAAAATTATGACGTAAGCTATAAATGCAGCCATTTTGGCTGGCCAGCCACACATGTATTACGAATAAGTATTGGGTTGTTTGAAAAGTTCTAACCGTTTTCGATACCTTTTTTTGAACTGATTTTGGAGGAAGAAACCATTTTCCATAAACATTGCTTATATCATTCAAAAGCTCTTTTCTTCTAGTTTTTCAAGCATACTTTCGTTTTCATAGAACTTTGTTTGCTATGTGGTTGCGTTCTTTGAAAAGACAGCGAAACAAATGTGAAAATGCTCGTCTTTGCTCTATCGCCGTGAAATCTACAGCAAAAAGAAAAAAAATTTTTAAAGTATACATAATGTTTGCTGGAGACTTGTGCCGAAACGGTCATCGAGATATGATTTCAGAAAAATTTTGAACCCACAAACTTTTAGCTCAAACATAACCCGTCTTTATAGTCCCTTCAAGTCGCATAAAAATCACAAACATATTGCAATCGCGGAACTTTTACTCAGTAAGATTAGAGCTAGAACAACTGCTACTAAAAGAAAGAAAAGATTTCCTGGTTTGTCAACGGCGAACAAAATCAAAAATGTCAAAAAATTGCATTTTTTGCCGCCTCAAAAAGAGCAAAAAAAGTGGGTCCTTTCTGTTTTTTCAGCACAAAATTTTTATGAAAGAGTTTGATTAAATCCAAAGTTAGCGGTACTGCTCAGTCGACTATGGGCTACAGTGTGAGCAGTGCTTGTGCAACTCAGCTATATTCCAAATCAAGTTATGCTCTTGCAAAGTGAAGGTTTCTACAAAGGGATGTTCCTCGATTTTCGCCTATAAAATCTTCTCCACTGTTATAATCTTGAAGAGTGCGCAGAACAGACAAAGATTTGCAGATTGTAATACAGTTTATAACAATTGAAGGATTATTTCTGAGAAGAGTTACGTTGAATCAAAGTCAAAGTTCGAAAACGGGTAAAACTTTTGAAACAACCCAATATAAAGGGAAAATTTTTGAATTATTTCAGTTCCTGCTGAAATTCTTTATAGGGAGGTTATATAGCATGCTTACAAAGATAACTAAGATAACTGTCTTTGCATGTAAGCTCCTTCTTCGAATTTTCACCTTATTTTTAGCTATGCAAGCCGATGCTATTATTTGAGTACGGTACTCCGATCAGGTATAAAAATGGATTTTTCGGCCGCGAATATCGATCGATCCGATAAATAATATATCGATCGATTCGTCCGCTTGGAGGGCCATAGTAGTCTACATGTGCAAAAAATAATGTTTATTTTGTGCTCATTATAAGTATTATAATTGGTGTATGTGGTTGGGATGATTGTGACTTACTATAGTCTCCCAAACGCAAGCGTTAATTCGTGCTGGGACCCCCACAGTACAGTCGAGTACAGTCTCTCCAGATCGCCGCGTCTGCCTTCATTGCGGTTCGAGCCAAGTGTCACGGCAGACGTAATGGTGAGTTGTATGATCGCAAGTTTTTATATCCATTGCTATTGCTATGTAAATGTTCATGGGTAGTCTCAGGCCGAGATGGGAGGACATCAAAAGAGTGGTGAACGAGTCAAAATCAACGTGGGTGGCACCGTATTCGAAACTACCATCTCCACGCTGACAAGGCTGGATAATACTGTGGGTAAAAATTCGTTCTCTTTCTATTCTTCAGCATAGCCATAGTCCCTAGGTGCTTTCCACAATGGTGGCAAATCGCTGGCGAAATCAGGAAGAGATATTCGTGGACAGAAGTCCGACTTATTTTTCCAAGGTGAGGCCTATACTTCCTGGTTAGGAGAACGAAATGCGCCATTTGGGCTCTGCGACTGCTGGTCCTCGACCGGCATGCCCGAAGGAATAGTGGCCTGCTGAGGAGGGTTGAAAATGGCCGAGTTCAATCCGCTCTCATATTATCTTTTAGATTCAATTTTTTTTTCAGATATTAGATTACCTAAGAGACGGTGAGAATGTTACTCTCCCCAGGGACGATGAGGCTCGAGAGGCTCTACGTAAAGAAGCTGAGGTGGGTTAAGTGAGAAAAACTGTACATGCTTACTTTCTCTTACCATAAGTTGCAGTTCTACAATCTCCCTGATCTGTCCAAGATGTGCACCTTACACATCCGTAAGCAAAGACGACAAAGGCTTTGAAGTAAAAGCATTCTGCCAAGGCGATATTGTGCAATGGAAGGAAAGCGCTATCGAAATGTACTGGAAGTATTTTGTCAGGTAAAACATTCGAGCTATTGCGTACTTTCTGTTTTATAGTTTGTGATGTACTACGCAACTTTTGTGAGATGATGATAACATCTTTTGCAAGATATCTGCACGAACTGGAATATTTTGAAAAAAGGAGATTACGGTGTATGGCCTGTGGAGATTGTAGAGAAGATTACGTTGGTCCCACAGCTTCGATCGGCAATGTTGATCTCCATAAAGTTGTGATCAACTATGAAGATTGGATACCGCTGAGGCAACATATGCCTTATATGAAGGGAAAAGTAACCTTTGCGGTAAGTGTCAAAATTTATCTAACAATAAGATTTCGATTTTATAGGGTTTAGAATTTAGAGTTTTAAATGGTCCTGCTGTTCGGTGGAATGGGGCAGCCTGCATACGCATATTCCTCAATCTGCACTGCGCAAGAGCAGGTACTAGACAGACAGACACTTTCAAACTTTCGACGTTATCCTGATTTTTATATCTTATACTCTACTCTACTTATCTCACTTTCTTTGAAGTTTTTCGTAGGTTTGCCCGCTCATTAAAAGCTTTTTAGTCAAATCTCAAACGCAGCAATCGTCACAAACGCCGAGCTTATTCTAGAAAAGCTGTTTCCTCGAAGTAGCTGATGCAGTTGCGCAGGCAGCCTTGAAGAAATTCAAACATTGATAGTTATGGTTGAAGGTCACGCGTGAACAGTTAGTGGTTTGATGCAGTAATCAGTTATCTTTTCATAACGGTCAGGAAAGTTAAAATGATTGTTGAGCTTGTGCCGGTCATCTGATACGAAAATCGAATGTTAAATCGACCGACATGTTTACTCGCGGTAAACACTCAGTCAGTATGCGTACTTTCAATTACATAAGCAAAGCTTGACTACAGAAACGCATGGTAGACGATTGTATATTCACCTAATTCAGCTTAAAAATCTGTTTATGTGAAATAATTCTTTTTTGAAATGAGTGGGAAGTCCTAGAAAACATTGTCTATGCGATCTTTTGTGGTTGGCCGGTAACCACATTTTTAACCTCACTACCGTAATCGAACGCGCTGATTAGTTCGCCCGTGGAGTACGCATCGGCAAAAGTTGAGTTTCATTTTCACTTACGAACCAAGACTCCGTCGAAACTGCTGTATTGGCAACCTGCAATACAAATCTTCAACACTGCCTCTTATGTCGCGAAATTTGCGGCGGCAAAACCTATACAGAAAAAAAAAAATCTAACCTTAGTTGCAACTGCCAAACCTATACAGAAAGGTAGCATCATTTTTCTCATTTTCAAACTGGTAATATCCGGGTGGCGAGCAGGAGGAACGATAGCTTGTGGGTGTCAATAACTCGCGCATCTTTTAACGTCATTTTTGTCCACTAGCACGCAGAATCTGTAGCATTTCCTCCCATTACACTTTCATATGAACAGGAGAATGAGATAGATCCTGTTTGCTTAATAATGAGATGTGAAAATAAATTTTGAATACCAAGAAAGGGTTTAAAGGTGAAACTTCAAGTATTTCAAGTTTTTCTTGCAATAACATTACTAAACTGTACTCATCAATGGAATCTGAGCAGAACTCATTTAGTAAAGCATTTATTCCAATTCTACTCAAGTTTATAAGTCTGAAATCTGCGCATTTCAGGGCAAATATTGCATTGGCAGCAGCGGCTGGCAATTGCTATCGTTCCACTTGCACCACACCCGTAATATCCTACTAAAAATCGGCGGCGTGGCAGGAGTTCCCAAAGCCTAGCCGCTTTTCCTCGCAGGGGTACTGGCACCAGGGCCCGGCACGCGTTGGTTTGAGGCGTTTCTGGAAACGAAGTCCCCCATGACTTCGCGAAAATTTACGAAGTCCCTCTTGACGTAAAAATCAGTAGGGAAACCCTTAGTTAGTCAAAATAACATTAAAAAGCGAAAAAAGCGCATTTTGAAGTAACTAATACAACAAAAAAAGCAAAAAGAAAACATTTCGAGTTGATTAAAGGCCCTGTCATTGCGCAGTGTACCATTTTAGCGCTCAGAATGTTGAGAACCCTCCTAGGCCAACCAAATCTGTGGCCTCAACAATCTGGCAGTGCATTTTTCGCCACATAGTTCAAAGGACACCGCGTGTGATTGGAGCGCAATATCTATCAACGCGTATGGATTTGCACTACTTTTAGCTCAAAAAAAGAGTAGAGGCAATAGTTTGATTCGCTCTCTTCACTATATAATAGATTTTTGAGCGTTTTAATCGTCCAAATCAAAAAGGTCCAAAACTTATGTGAACTCTCCGAAATTTATGCTCCGAACCAACCCAGTTGGTTCGGTGGTTGGTTTAGAAACCAACAAATCCTGAACGGGTATTCAGACACATAAGTTTTGGGAACTTTTTACATAACATAATTTGGAGTAATATTGTATACTCATAGCCCAAATTCGGAGCCATGAGATTGTTTGTGCGCTATAAACAAGCCATTTGTTTGTTTGAGTCTTGCATTTGAAATTCGCGCGCTTGCGAAAGAACACGTTCAACTTGTGAAACCTGACATGTTCGTCGTGTTTTTTTTGGCGCTTTCTCCAGTACCTCATAAAACGATGTCCCCGTTGCTTCTAACTCCAGAAACGAAGTCCAGTTTGACCCCAAACCATCGGTGCCGGGCCCTGACTGGCACCTCCAGAAATCCCTTAAAGGACATCACACCTTCTCGGGGCCAAAGGGCGGCTCCGCCCATCATTCCTCCCTCTAGCTGCCCTCATTATGTATTGTGTACAGGCACTGTGAGACGTGTATTGTTTTTGAAGATAATAACGCTGAAATCGAGAAAAAAGTCTTTAGGTTAAGAGCTTAGGATTCGTAAACGACTGCAGCTGAATTTCCAGCATTTGGTTACGTTTTACTCACGTTTTCAGTTAAAATGGCGCTTCCCCAAAAACTTGGTGTGAGGAAAGGTGCTAGGAACTCCTGCACGCCCTCCCTAAAAATCGTACTGACGAAGTCTACAGTTGCTTATTTCTAATGTAATAACCATTAGTACTCTTGAACGTGTTTCATTGTGGATGAACTTATTACTGTTTGCATTGTCACGCAGAAATCATGCCCCGTATCCATGCCCCCTATCCCTTGAAAATAAAATTTGTCTGCGGGCTGCTTAAAGGCAGCGTCTCGGCAGAATGAAAATGAACCTACCTCAGATTTTGACACAGATGGATAGGAGGCCCTCCGAGTGAACCAAAACAGCAACTCCGAGCCGAACCTGTGAACTCTGCAAGCAGGGGGCGGCCCAACCGCCGCTCCCCTTCCTCCTTTCGCTCCCCTAATACCTTGTTCGGACGAGTATGTTCCCCGCTAGAACCGTCACTCGTTGCTTCGCAGTGCAGAGTTGTTCTAGCGCTTTCTACCTCCTTACTCTGCTCTCCGATGGCAGAAAAAAACAGCTCAATTGTCCGCGCCCGTCTCAAGGGGGGTTTCAAAAAACGGGGTTTTCCCCATTTTCGCGCTAAGGGGAGTTCATTTCGTGATTCAGGGGGCCGGAATAGCCCCAAATCTGCCAAAACCCCGAAGTTGAAAATCTGCCGAGCCGCTGCCTTTGAAGGCAGTGTCCAGGCAAATCTAGGCGCATGGGATTTTTGCGTGGAAAATGATGAGGAGGTCCTATAAGGCAATATCTAAGCGGCAGCGCAAATTATTCATTCACGGCTGAGAAATCCCTCCCTAACCCTTTGCACGTGTCGCCGAAGGTGACTTCTCTCACCATAGCACTACGTTCGCGTTGGAACCCATCCTAAGTTAATCGCGAATTACGGTCACGACACAGCGACGAGTGTTTGGGGATGGATTTTTCAGCCGTGAGATCATTTGAGCTACTTGGACCGTGAGTTACTAGGACTCCCCATCAATTCTTAGGCAGAAATCCCATGCGCCCGGATTTGCCTGGACACTGCCTTTGAGTTGTAAAGTTTGCAAGTGACCTATGATAGATTCCGCAAAAATTAATCGTGTTAAAAGAATCCCTGGGCTCTTAAAGGCACCGTCCACCCTAAGTTGAGGTTGTTGAGCTTTTGGCAGCATATAATAGCAGGACCCTCTATCAATCCAATGCCTAAGTCGCGGCGCAAAATGCCGCTTCGGAAGCGAGAAAATCGCTTCGGAATAGCGAAGATGCGCGAGGACCCCCATCCATGCCCGCCCTCCTCCATCCATGCCCGCCCACTTGTGCGGCCCATCCAATCACCGTTCCGGAAAGCCGGCCTGTGGGTTCTCCGGAACGGAGATTGTCGCGGTTTTCGCGCATCCTCGACTTTATATTCGGGATCAGGGACATGAGAAGGACCTGAAACGACAAAAACGTGGAAGTCGAAAATCTGGTGGACGGTGCCTTTAAAGTGCTTGCCGTCGCCAACTCCGTCTCCAAAATTTTGGGATAAGCCTGCGGAAATTTGGAAACGATTTAAGTCTTCACAGCCTCCCCCCGAAGAAATTTGTTCGCCGCGGTGTGCTATATGTTCCTGTTTAGCTTGCAATCATGAAGAGAAAGATCTTTCGTGGACTTCATAGAAGTTTGTGGCTAGGCAGATATAGCACGCAAATCAGAAAGACAGTGGCTTTCCGTTTATGCAAGATTTAGGTTGATTTGACATTAAAAAAAGACTGTCAGAGCATGTTATAGACTAGCAGATTTGATTATATAGTGCTTCTGCGATGCTAACAGCACTTGCGCGTGGAATTTTCTTTCCCTTTTGCTGCAGATAATTTGCCGTGTAAGGTGGCCAATTCAAGTTCTGCGTCCTATGGCTTACATGCAAGTGTTCTCAACTTACAAGCAGAAAATAGTAATTTATCGTATTCTGCATCTTCAGCTGGGCGAGAATTTCAGCTACACGATTGAACATTTCACTGAAGGTGT